ATATACTTACTTACATACGTTCATACACACATACATATATAAATACATACATATATACGTACATATATTCATACATACATACATACATTAATATACATACATACATACATACATATATATATATATATACATACATACATACATACATACATACATATATACATATATACATACATACATACATACACATACAAACATACATACATACATACATACATACATGAATGCATGCATACAAATATACATACACTGTTTACGCTTGTGTATTCTCCACTGGATAATAAATACATATACATCACATAGACAGACAAGATATAGTACTGTGAAAAAGTGATCCTTCCTGTATTCAACGTGATTCAATTCGTGTTCGTATATTGGTCTGATAAATATCAACAACATGTGTTTGTGAAACGCTAGTATACACTTTTTGAAGAACCGACAAAGCTCGCCCTAATCCATCTGATGATCTGATGATAGGGCTGTATTTACTTTTTTTTAAAAGGTTTCATGTGCCTCTGACCAAAACGAAAATGTGAAAATGACACAGACGGTGGAAAACTCTGTGCTGTCACGTTCAATTTAGAAGGCTATGTGTCACTGGAGTAAATATTGACATACGTACTTATGAGTCATCGTAAATATTGATGAGTCATCACTGTTTATGTATACGCCTAGAGCTAAGCTCAATAAGTTATATTTAGGGGTACGGAATACAATAATGTTAACTTTTTAATTTTTTTAGGACAAATCAACTACAAAGTTATTTTGGAAACTGCACTTAATAAGCTGTCCGATCGTTGAAAATTTTAGGCCACGAAAATGATAAATCAAAGGAGATTGAGCGTTTCAGTTGTGACGACTGTCCTGAGTGACTTGAAAAATGCACCTATTATATATGGAAGTGTACTATCGAGATATAAAAGCTACAATTTCAATGTTTATTCGAGGCATAATAAAAGTTACAACTTTTAACGCATTGAGCTTAGGCCTAGAGCCTGACATATGTAGCGGTACATAGCCTCTACATATTAACTATTTATACGGTATTCACTTGTTTGTTTTTGTTTTTTTAAAATAGCCCAATTTGTATTATACTGTACAACAATTTTATGATCAGAGTTATAATTTTTATATAAAAAACCCAAATGAGTCATCACTAAGTATCAATGTGCCTCTCTCTCTCTCTAGAGTAGTCTCGATAGCCTATCATAAAAGATCCCACAGATTTATACATTGTCCTCTATAACTATTTCAAAACAGAGATCAATAGACTCTGAGCTGGTATGAGGTCGCGGCTACTTTCATAGCCTTCTGAAAATTAGACAAGTAGGGCGTAGGCTATGATACTTTTGCAAAATAAGTTTGTAAAAAAAAAGGGTTTTTTACTCGTCATACATACGTGCCAACTCCAAATAGTTTCAGCAGAAAAACATTCATTTATATGTACGTATTTATTTATATTTTTCGGTTTTGAAAAATGACTATCAGAAACATAGCCGTCTTGTTTAAAATTTTCAGAAGGCTATGTCAGAAAAGGCATAAAATATGTGTTCTATTCTGCTGTGAACAATAACTATTTTTTTAACAAAATATAAATACGGGCTTATTTATCCACACGGCAAGAAACACCTCGAGTGAGTCGGATTTATATATATTAGACATACATGCGTACATAGAAAACATACTAGACCCATCTTTAAATCGTTATCGTCTTCATCATCATGATTAGCAAAGACGCGAAGTTGCTTTCAAAAGAAGTCGACTCGCAGAACAGGGAGATGGACGACTTCAACGTAGGAGACGATGTGCCACTCCTTAGCCAATCTCTGCAACACTCAGACATTGAGGATAAACCCCCACCCGACTACCAAAGCTCCACCTTATTCGAGGGTAAAGGTGTCACCATTAGAAAACACACACAGATTGGCGAGGTTGTCGCACAGGCTTGTAACGTACCATGGGAACAGGCTAATCAGTACGCGATAGCGGCACTTCCCCAGGATAAGTGGGTTGACAGTGCCAATGACAGCACGCGATGGAAACCCAGTGCGGAGACATTAACTTCTCTAGAGCGAGTGCTACACGTGCAAGAAGAAAGCTCTTTCTTTGACAGGTGTCTATTCAATTGGTTGGGTTGTGGTAATCTACGACCACTACAATTACATCTCAGCGTAGATGAGGAAAGCGGTGTCCTATACACCGTACAACGTGACTTTATGTTGGGTGGGGTGTGTGGGTGTCCACTTACAATGGACATGTTTAAAGTCAGTGGAGGCAACAAGGTACCCATCGGACGAGTGCGTGAGAACTTCGATGACTGGTTTGATAAGTGCTTCCAGGTGTGTTGCAAAGCTACGGTATATCACGACGTACAGACACTGGGCCCCAATTGGGGTGATGGTGAACGTGATAACACCAAGAACTATATATCAGCACAACCAGGCCATGCAGAGAATCCAATGTCCCAGGATGGTCGCAAATTCACACGCATGCCTCATGACGACGACTATAAAACTGTGTATACACTACGTGCGAACTTATCGTGTTGTGGTCGGGTAAACAACTGCTGTGGTTCGACCTGCTTCAAGAATGACATGGTGTTCGACGTGTTAGATCGCCAGGGGGTTGCCATGGCAACGGTGCAGAAGACCTACGCACCCAGTGAGCACATGGGGTGCAACGCTTTCTGCAGAGCGGGGCAACGCTTTTCTAACTATCTCGTCGAGTTCCCCGAAGATGCGACTGTGGAGGCGAGAGCGCTGATTGTCACTTCTGTCTTCCAATTGGACTTTCACAGGTTCGAGAAGCGCGGCGGTAAGAATCATTAACGAAGGCTTTTGACCAGTAAACAGCTTATACATATTCATATAGTAGCACGACTCTGGATGTATCTCATATTATCCAGATATATTATAAACTAATATATATTTACATTCGCCTTCATTTATGGATTTTATGGCCCTTTATAGTTTCCGTACAGATTCTTACGCAGGGCAACCAGAAATTCGTGGTTAAGTTTAAGTTTACTGTTCTTCTTAGAGAATAAACAAATATATGTCCATATCTTCATGTAGAGTGCAACTCAATTGCCGTATCAGATATTGGTAGGATGGCTTGCTGTTGACACACGGTGGGGCTTACATTCGCCTGTGGCACCGCTTGGCTGCAGTACAGCGTTAACCATGCATATCTCGGAGTGGTGGTTTGCGTTAACCATGCATAATTGTTCTCGGAGTGGTGGTTTGCGTTAACCATGCATAATTGTTCTCGGAGTGGTGGTTTGCGTTAACCATGCATAATTGTTCGCGGAGTGGTGGTTTGCGTTAACCATGCATAATTGTTCTAGACCAGTAGACTGGCCATGGTATTGGAGACTTCGAACTGCTGTCCTAAATTCTCTTTTTTCCTTTGGGGGTTCGTGTCGAAACACGTCACATCTCAAATATGTGTACCAGGCAACCCCATCAACTCAATGTGTCGGTGCTTCATCCATATCGGACACCATGAGACCTAACCACAGCTGGTTGGTTATACTTATCTGTTATCTGACTGTGGTCGACATCAGCCCATGTGCATCGCTTGCTCGGCCTCCCACTCGACCACTGCGTGCGTGTGGGTGTACGCCGCCAGTGGTACTACGCAATGGAGTCACAGCCACTACTCGCACAGGTCACACACTATTGGTGTATATTGTTCATTCTATAGTAGTCGGAAGGCTCGACACGTGCAGCAAGAAATCCACGACCGACCTAAACAACTCATCACTGGCCCGTTCCAAGTCCTCGTCGGTTGCCCTAAGACCTAGTGGTAGGGCCACTTCTGTCCTGTGCACATCCTGCACTAGTCCGCTATTTAAGATGATTCTTCCGAATCTGTCGCCATGGTTACCAGGTGCACGTGTATTACCCTGGGCGTTGCACCCGTTCTGTGCCAATGACTGTTGCAGCAGCACAAAGCAGTCGGCGCTTACTGTGGTATCGCCTGTGACGGGTGTCTGATACGCACCCTGCAGCCGAGATACATCATCTCCAAAGTAACTCATACTCCTACTCTCTACACAGTCCCCTGCTGGTGCCCCTGTAGTATTCGGAAGGGTTGTTGGTGTGTGGGTGGTCACGTGGGCGTTAGACTGCACCTCCGACGGCCTATGCGTACCCACACAGCCACTGTCACCTTCCCGTACGACATCCCTCGGCGGAGTGTCGAGTGTCTGCGGTCCAACAACAGTCACCACACACCCCACGTTGTGATGCAGTCGCAAAGCCGTGCGCTCGGCCACGAACATCTCCAATGAACCGTCGCACACTATGGCGATGTGATACTTAGCGCATCCCAGGCGTGTTTGCAGGGGCAGTGTGGACTGGATACGCAGATTATCCGAGTCATCTAATAGGAAACACAAAGAGAAGAAGTGCGTGTATTGGGGTGGGTAGTCAGCCAGAAAAGGTGGTTTGTTTATGAGTGCTCAGAGGTAGAGTGTGGGGCTACTAGTACAACACTCGGCTAGGCGTGGGTGGTAGGTGCTGACACTATACAACGCCCAGTAGCAGCGAGTGGCACAATCAGATTCAGCAGAGGACAAGCCCTAGAAACCCCAAACCCTGAAACCCTGCATACACGATCTATCAACAAACGTGACAGAGAACACTTGTCACTGGAGACCATGTAAACCATGTAAACCATGCAAACCATTAAACCATGTACCGTGCATAGCCACCCCTTTGCCTGCGTTGCCGTAGCTATGGACGGTCTAATGGTTGTAGCATATCTGACAGAGCGCACCAGTGCAAGTGCAGGCTGTGTGTTACAGTGGGACTTGTCATCGTGTAGATCTCCTTGGGTGTGGGGTATGTATATATATATATAAATATATATAAATATATATGGTGCATAGTTTATAGGCATGGCAGTTGGACCACAGCCTACCAACACAATTAACTACTGCGTATGCGATAACTACACCCCATAAACCCACAGACACAATGAGCACATGTCAGAGGCCGACACACCAGTACAAACAATCCCTATGAACCAGACCCGACACAGTACAGGGCATAGCACAAATCAAGAGTCAAGCACACAAGACGTATCGTATGCACATACATAGCGTCTGCACATACACATACCTGCACATACACACACCTGCACATACATAGCGTCTGTACATACATACACCTGCACATAAATAGCGTCTGCACATACACACACCTGCACATACATAGCGGCTGCACATACACATACCTGCACATACACACAACTGCACATACACACACCTGCACATACACACACCTGCACATACACACACCTGCACATACATAGCGTCTGTACATACACACACCTGCACATACATAGCGTCTGCACATACACACACCTGCACACACATAGCGTCTGCACATACACACACCTGCACTTGTCATGCGTAGCGACTGCACAAAGTCGCGGAAGTAGCGCTCGTGTAGCCATAGATGGTCGTTCTCATGGCCCAACGTGGACCGTGCGAACTCGACCACAAACTTATACAGCCACCTGGCCGGGATGTGATGAATGTGTTCTGTGGACTGTCCGGTGCTTTGTGACGGTTGTGCTGTGGTTTCTGAGGTAAGTACGGTTTCGCACGAGTGCTGCTGCATCTGAGTCGTCGAGTTGCACCTCACAATCGCTTCCACGGGCGTTGGAGAAGACACTGTAGTGAGGTGAATGGTGGTAGGATTAGGTAAGAATAAGATCAGGTTAGAGAATCTATGTCACACACGCGCACACTTTGATGGACTATACGAATGATACAGGCACACGACTGCGGGGATTGACTGTCAAGTACATGCACCAAACGGCAACACACAGTGACCATCCGGTGGAGATGCATTGCACACTTGCTGTTCCGGTGTCGTACAGCAATAGGAGCCCACATGCGTGATCGGAGAGGTGCCAGGACGTGTGTCTACATGTACTGAACCTCAAAAGATGGTGTGGTGTCGTGTGCGGCTATGCGTTGATTGTGATCGTGTTCACGCGGTTGCGGCTGTAGATGCGAAACTTAAACCACAACAAACTGTAGATAAAGTCTGATTGGGTCGTGATTTGGTCATGACAGACCATGATCTTTCAACTGGTCTTGTTACAAACATGAACCCATACGCACATTATTCATAAATAATATGTAGGTATGTACGAATTTGTGTATGCATGTACGGACGTATGTTATGAATGTATGCATGTATGTATGTATGTATGTATGTATGTATGTACGTATGTATTTATGTCTGTATGTATGAAAGTATATATGTATGTGTTTGATATGTATGCGTGTATATATGTACATATGTATCTCTGCTTATATACCCACACCACTCCTCACAGCGAACACAATCCCCCACTCAAGTGTTCTTCATTGCTACAGACGATTCCCATTCAAGCAATGCATACCCCTTGTCATCCGATAGCACGCACTATACGAGCAGTACTTCAAAGCATCACTTGCAGCAAAGCATATGCAGCCACAAGCACTCGCGTGCGTATACCTGGATCGTGTTCGGTTAGTCGCACAATTGGCATATCTGGCAAATACACTAAAAGACAGAGGTCTTCACACGGACTCTCTCCCGTCCCCAAGGGCGGCTGGTTGTACAGGCATACCACTTGGCGATAGCCTAGTCTGCGGGGGATAGCGGGGGTGTGTGTGTGGGAGGGGGGGTATGGGTGTGTGTTACTACGTGTTGGTGGTTGTGGTAGATAGGCAGGGCACGAGACATGGCTGGCTGAAAACGGGAACAGCAGGAGTTGTGCTGAAGTGTAGTATGAATTGTTTAATACGATCCAGTGATGATGTTGGACAGGACCTAGCCTACCATTACATAACTTGTTGACTATAGGTGACTCTTGGTAGATAGATGGTGTGGTCAATACTGGTATCTGTTGAGTATAGCCATCATCCCGACCCACATGCGGTACTACGAGCTTCCCACCAACCAATTGATTATTTACTTGTGTGTTGAGGAGAGTACGAATGCTTGTCAGTTCGTTGAACGTCGTAGCGTATTGAATTTCCTTCTAGCTGATGCATACCCGCCATTTGGTGGGTGGGAGATCCGTCTGAGGATAGTCTACATACACCTGTGCCACACAAACCACCCGTATTAAAACCCCAAACCCAAAAACCTAACCTTGATCCACAGTCCTTCGCTAGACGCTTCTTGGTAGAGGCTCGTTAAAAGCAGCCAACAGACATACAAGACACCACACTGCACTACACTACACTATAACCGACTGTGCTCCTGTGCTACACTTGTAAGTAGACACTATCCTCGAAAGTATTCACTATAACCTAAAAGTGTATAAATGTACCTGAAGAGAATACCTGTAGAATGTATAAGTGTATCTGAAGAGAATACACATGTACCTGTAGAGCACTTCGTGGCGATGGTTGTTGTCCATGACCCCATCATCAAATCCAGGTGCGTTGGTTTCCATCAGCACGGCTCGCAACCCACGCCCCGCAGAAGCAATACGTTGCAAATCCTCAATGCACGCCTGTGGGTATAAGTCGAGTGGTAGGTATTTGTCGGTGTTTAGTAGCAGGTATACGTGATTGACCTATGTTCCACCGCTATTGACTGTACGTATTCAGTTGCAGGTACGTGTGTGTGTATGTTGAGTGGTAGGTGTTTGTCAATATTTAGTAGTAGGTAGATATACGTGATTGACCTATTTTCCACCGCTATTGACTGTACGTATTCAGTTGCAGGTACGTGTGTGTGTATGTTGAGTGGTAGGTGTTTGTCAATATTTAGTAGTAGGTAGATATACGTGATTGACCTATTTTCCACCGCTATTGACTGTCCGTATTCAGTTGTAGGTACGTGTGTGTGTATGTTGAGTGGTAGGTATTTGTCAGTGTTAGTAGTAGCTAGATATATGTGATTGACCCATTTATTCAATTACAGGTACGTGCACGAGTATGTTGAGTGGTACAACTTTGTGTGTGTGCAAATGCTGCCTCCAGCAAGGCATTTCCAGTCAGTCATGAACAACGTATGTGTGTGTAGCCCGACGTGTGCAGAACGGTACGTATTCAGATACCATTCGCCGAACACTTTCAACAAACCCTGATCAGAATAAAGCTGCTCCCATATACACGCATGTCTCATCCGCAAATGTCCATGCACACCATCACTCACCGTGTGTGCCCGGCGCAAGACACCAGCCCTCCGCACAGACGTGTCTGTGACTATGTACGATATCAGCGCACACGCACTCTGGTGGTAATACTCATACACCACACCACCCAGGATACGCCGATCGCAGTATGGTATGTCTGCTGGTGTGCTGTGTACTGTAGGTGTGTGTGATAGGGATGAGTGGGTGTGCGAAAGATGTCGGTGGTAGGTAGATGCAGGTCACTGCCTGCACTGTTGTGAATGTTTATAATGCCTCAGGCACAAGTGGGCCGTATGGAGCCACATATACGCACAATGCCACGTGCGAACGCATGCAATGCACACACTCAGACGTAAACACTCAGTCACATGCACGTATCGTCTGCTATATAAACCGATCACTGTGGTACTAGACGAAAGTATTACAGCGTGCATCACAAACCATCTGCTATACAACCCGATCCCTGTGGTATTAGACGATAGTATCACAGCATACACACAAACAGATACATCTACGAGTGTTAGCACATACACGGTGTCTCTAGTGCCAAGACTATTTGCATCAACGGATCCTTTTCATCGCGAACGGCCTCTCGCTGAGGCGACAGCGCATATTCCCATACCTACCATGTACATCAGTAGTGACAGGATCAATACATTTGTAGATATAGATAGTGTTCCCATACCTAAACATAACGAGCACCAGTAGTGACGAAACTAATACATTGGGAGATATAGATAGATATACACAGTCCCAGGCTATGATTGCGTATATATATATGCACCAATGGATTTAGGCATATTTGAAATCAGTTGTGAAAGATCGATGTCAAGCAATATATATATGGCACACAGTCGACTACCCTGACAAACAGCCTGCCAATAGAGTTGCACGAGTTGGTACTGTACAGCATACTTGGCCGCTGGTAGCTTAGTAACCGACGCGTTGGAATGGTGCGCAAGTTCGTCTCGTGTAGAACCCCACGACTCCCATCCTTATCTGTAAACCATTGTCGCCGGTTTTCAATAGTGTATCCCGTTTGTTCGATTGTGCCCATGCAACTGAGAGGTCTACCAATTCCTCATGATTTGCCGGCATATATACCACCGCGAAAACGTTCATCAGCCAAAACCCATGCCCCAGAATGACTAGAAAGGTCACACCACTGAACTTAACGCCAAACGCACGCGCGGGGGTAAAAGCGTATACAACGGAACACCAACCCAAAGACTCGTGTTCCCTTGCGCCTGGTATGTCGCTACGAACCACTCACTACTATGACTCAGCTCCCAGATACACACACCCCCCCTTCACTCAGCAACAGCATTGCAGGCTACTAATTACAGCTATACGCCTAACTGCACACACGTCTACATCGTCCAGATGTTCGGGTATACCAAACGCATGCGTGTGCGTAAACGCTTTCCTAATCAAACACCAGCCCGAAGAATCTAATGATCATGTGTCTGGTATGTCGCTATGAACCACTCACTACTGCGCCACACCTCTCCGTTACATACACCACCCATTCAGCATTCACATTGCAGGCTACGAATATCAATTAAACGCACAAGTGCACACAAAGTACAAATAAACGCACAGGTGCACACAAGGTACAATTAAATGCACAAGTGCACACACCTCTACATCATCCAGCTCTTCGGGTACGGGGAAGTTCTTGATCATCAACTCACTGAGAAGAAGTACAAACGACAGCACAAAAGGATCAGCGCAAACGCTTTCGCAGATGTGTACCAACCAATACAGCCCAATACAGAGATAGTGCAACGATGGGTGGGGTCGGGGCAGATAGATAGCCTTCAACTTGCAATACGTTTAAAGTAGTAGAACATAACCACCCTTCACGACCTATCCTATACAAATACAATCAAATAAACTGAGTGCTACCACACATGTCACACGACTCCCGGGGTAGTCAACTACACTGAGACCATCCTACACCCACACCCATACAGTACACACTACACAGGTTGAGGCGGAAGTCTGCGAGTGACGTATTGTATGTCCGCTCGTGCGTGCGTGCCGTTAACATCACTATACGCATAAGCATAAAAGTCATAGCGTTATCAACACCGTATCCTCACAGGGGTGTGTTCTCAACATCATAACTATATCAATCGCAGACCATGTTGACCAGCTTGAACTATACAAACATATCCTTCTAATTGCCTTGAATTGAACTAAAGATTATAGAGAATCACCTGACATAAGCTACTGAAATGCAGAGCCTCGATGCACTAGAACAATAAAAACACACGCCTGGTCATAAAAATATGTCCTTCGACACTCATGCACAATTAGAAGGCGTCTGTCAATCCACTTACTCGTAGAATCGGTGCAGCAACTTGTCCGAGTAGTGGTCTCGCAATTGGACTAAATCGTATTGAATTGGTAACATGGCGTATTCTTGCGTGTGTTATTCCTTGGTATTGAACTTTACTATGAAAAACACTAATTAGGACACATAACTCTTTCACGCCATCTACGTTTTAGCTAGGTTGCGTTGGAATAGGCTGACCAGGACAAGGAATCAACGAGCACGCGACACAGCTATATGTAGAGTGTCTTTTTTAGAAAGCTATACTCAAGTACAAAAGTGTGCAGTAAGCCCGAGTACTAATGTCACACGAGAGTGCGTAGAACAAGCCGTAGCAGCGTTTATCTATTGGTGTCGTTTACACTAGCACTTATTGTATTTACAGTGTACTTAGTAGTAGTAAGTTGTTATATGTATATAACAATGAACGACTTCATACGCTCGCGTACATTCACGTGGGGATATAAATAGACCGAGATTTCACAGCGATAAGTGAGCCATGAGTCATACATTTTCATATACCTTTTTTATTTCAAAATAAATATGTATACCTTTTACTTATTAGTACATATGGCGGTAGACTCTGGTAGTCGTTTCGTGTTTTGGAGTGTACAGTGGTTACCGGTGTGTACTACATAAACCTATGCAGTCCTACCGTGCGCTACCGTGCACACTATAATGTATATCAGCACATACTACGTATAAAAATACTCTTGTGTGTGTGCCCTTTGCATCCACAGTGTAGTCTAATTCGGAGTGCTGACCTCTACTACACCTTAGACTGATAGTGTCGAACGACGAACTTGACTGAGACGGCATTCAAGTGCATGCACCGACTTCTGATTGCGTACTCAGTTGCCATAATTGCATATACTTTTATATACAATTCATACCAAGCTAGTGCGTGTGACGTTAACTATACTAGACATAGAGCATTCCGTCAGACACACACAACCTTTTATCTCACATATACACTTCTGTACCAAGCATACACATCGTACTATCTGTCTAAGATGGAGGCTATAGGCGCACTCCTTGGCCAGATCGCCGGTCTCGGATATAATACACAGAACAACAACATGGATGGCAATGTGTTGGCTGGACTGGCACATAATAGACACGGGCTGCAGGGCGTCATGACGGAGATACAGTCGTTTTCCCAAGGACTCAATTTGTTGCTGGTACGTTGCTTCTCTGCTGTTTTATTCTCAGATTATGCTGCTATATATATATACGTGTGTGTGTGTGTATGTATGTAGGTATGTATGCA